GGCCCATGGAATGTGGAATGTTGTGGTTCCCGGGCAGTTGTGGTTCCCGGCCCATGCAATGTTGTGGTTCCCGGGCAGTTGTGGTTCCTGGCCCGTGCAATGTTGTGGTTCCCGGGCAGTTGATGTGAACGTTGCTGTGTTGTTTTTGGCCAGGTCGGCGCAGGAGCTGCAGCAGCTGGAGAGCCCCGGGCAGGCGCGGGAGCAGGAGCGGCCCTGGGAGCTGATGATGGAGCGCCCGCACTTCCGGCTCTGGCGCCGCCCCATCCCGGGGTCACCCCTCTACCAGTACCGAGGTGCAGCCCTGACAAACCCCAAAAAAACCGAAAAATCCAAAAATCCCAGCATGGCCACCGTCCCAGCATGGCCACAATCCCAAAAAATCCCCAAATCCCAGCATTGCCACCATCCCAAAATCCAAAAAAATCCCCCAAAATCCCAGCATTGCCACCATCCCAGCATGGCCACCATCCCAGAATTCCCCAAAAAATCCCAGCATGGCCACCATCCCAGCATTGCCACCGTCCCAAAAAATCCCCAAATCCCAGCATTGTCACGATCCCAGCATTGCCACCGTCCCAGCATTGCCATGATCCCAAAATCCAAAAAAATCCCCCAAAATCCCAGCATGGCCACAATCCCAGCATGGCCACGATCCCAAAAAATCCTCAAATCCCAGCATTGTCACGATCCCAGCATTGCCACCATCCCAGCATTGCCATGATCCCAAAATCCAAAAAAATCCCCAGAAATCCCAGCATGGCCACCATCCCAGCATTGTCACCATTCCAAAAAATCCCCAAAAATCCCAGCATGGCCACCATCCCAGCATTGCCACCATCCCAAAATCCAAAAAAATCCCCAAAAATCCCAGCATTGTCACCATCCCAGCATTGCCACGATCCCAGAATTCCCAAAAAAATCCCCAAATCCCAGCATTGCCACCATCCCAGCCTTGCCACGATCCCAAACCATCCTCAAATCCCAGCATGGCCACAATCCCAAAATCCCAAAAAAATCCCAGCATTGCCACCATCCCAAAATAAAAAAAAATCCCCAAAAATCTCAGCATTGCCAAAATCCCAAAATCCCCAAAAAATCCCAGCATTGCCACGATCCCAGCATTGCCACGATCCCAGAATTCCCAAAAAATCCCAAAATCCCAGCATTGCCACGATCCCAGCATTGCCACAACCCCAAAATCCAAAAAAATCCCAAAAAATCCCAGCATTGCCAAAATCCCCCAAAAATCCCAGCATTGCCAAAATCCCCAAAAAATCCCAGCATTGCCACGATCCCAGCATTCCCAAAAATCCCCAAATCCCCCAAAATCCCAGCATTCCCAAAATCCAAAAATCCCAGCATTGCCAGGATCCCAAAAAATCCCAAAATTCAAAAAAATCCCAGCATTGCCAAAATTCCAGTATTCCCAAAATCCCAGCATTCCCCCAAATCCCCAGAATCCCAGCATTGCCACAATCCCAGAATTCCCAAAATCCTAAAATAAAAAAAA